AGTGACGCCTTCGTTGAGGAGGTCCTCCGGCCAGCACACGATGATGCTCGCCAGTGGCATCTCGCCTTTTGATACCTCAGGCGCCTTGCCCTTGAACTCGTCCTTCCGCTGACGCTCCCGCTCTTCAATGCTGTCGTAGTACCATTTGTTATGATCGAATGCAGGCGTCTTCGCCCATGATGATGAGTCTTTTGACTTGATATGCGCGTTAGAGATCCAGTGGTTAATGTATCGGACGGCTTTCTCAAGGCCTGCACCTTGTCCAGCAATGGCGAACTGAGTGATATACCCAGCGTCCCATTTGGGGATGACATCGCAGCCAGTGTTGATCTTGATCTCGTTGACGATGAGCTCGCGTTCTGTAGTATGAGTGAGGCGACGGTACTCCGGGGGCACCGGAATGAACCTTTTTGGCTTGGGCTTGGGCTTTGGCAGAGCACCAGTGTCCTGTCCGTCCATCGCTGCGGCTTCTTTGTTGTGTGGAGAACTAGAATCACTGTCAAAGTAGCGGCGTCGGGGCGAGAGGATTGGCAGTGTTGTGATGTTCGTCGCTGCGGAGGTAGGTCGAGGTGACTGAATTGGAAAGAGCAAACGCGCGGTGACGCTAGTGCGCATGCGTATACAGCCTCAAAGCGCACCTACCTCGTCTCGTTTTGTGTTCGAGGTGCAAGTTAGGGAAGTGTGTGAGTACGGTCGATTTATACGAGAGCGTTGTAGTATGTTTTTGGAGCAGAGTTCCAGCGAAGGCCTACAGGCTGTTGTGCTGCACCTCCTCTTTGATGCAAGAAGAGCTCGAACGCAACGCAATGGTAGAGCAAGCTCAAAAGCGCACTCTATGTCTGTATCACCAAGGAGATCGTGTGCAATAATGCGGGAAGCTTGGTTGATGAAGAAGTGATTGTACTAATGGGGAGGTTGTAGAAGCTGAACATGAAACGAAGAAGGATGAGATGGGAGAGATCTACGACAGAATGAGAGAAGTATCCTCTTAGTATGGGTGAGGGGGAAGGTCTACTACTTGGAGACACTGTCGTCTAAGGTGGCCTGTTATGGAGGAGGGAGAGCTCTCTCCTGCTACAAGGGGCTGAGCACGTCACCAAAGCTACACATACAGCCCAGGAAGGTGCATCTACGACAGAGAGGCTTCGGGCGATAATAAGCTGATAGACCTTTGATGTTTAGGTAGTTGGATCGTATCGCGCAGAGCTGTTGGCTGGCAAACATAAGTGACGAGGTAGGCTAAGCAGTGCATGAAAGATCACGCATTCCATCCATCTGAATTCGAAAGTCATGTGGTTAACTAAAGCGACAGACAAAAGAATACTCCTAACAGAGTATCGAGCAGGAGCGATGGAAGAAGTCGTGGGCAAGGCTACCGAAGTTGAAAAAGGCTTGGCGGGCATCGGCGTTTGCGGAGCGACTCCCGATCCATTTTCTGAGCATCGCGAAAGCCATCACAAGTCGATATAGCGCATCATCGCGCTTTGCACTCCTCTAAAGCGCTATAGTACTCCTTGTCGAACGTACGAATCTTTGCGAACGCTGGCAATTGGAGAATCTGGACCTCATCGCCCCGCCACCATGGACGCCGTGCCCATCACAAAAAAGCTGATAGCCTTCGGCAGCAACAAGATATACCTGTAGGTCACGGCGATGTCTCATTTATGCTCAAGACTGACACGATCCAGCCCCAAATTCACGGTTGCGTTTCTTCGCACGCCCCAACTCTCCCCATACCATGCCCGCTTCCAGGTCCCGCTAGACTTCTCCAAATACGACCTCCGCGACTACCTCTACCACGCCTACAACGTCAAATGCTTCAACATCCGATCGTACGTCAAGCAAATGCCGGTACGAGATACGCGGGAACAACCACGGCATTGGTTCCGCGAGGAGTCCAAGAAATACATGACAGTAGAGTTGGAGCAGCCATTCGTCTGGCCTGAGACACCCGACCTCGAACCATGGGGCAAGAAAGACAGGGAAAGAGAGATTCGGGATTCTGTGAAGATGGGCGGGGCAATTGACCAAAACGACACGCGGGAAGCAGCCAGGACGCTTCGAGAGCAAGTGGAGAAGTTACTACACAAGAACGTTTCCAAGCCGAATCGCGAGATACAGAAGAAGAAGGCAGCGGCTATGGAGCTTACGCCAGAGGAGCTTGAGTCGGAGATACTGAGGAAGCGGGAGGCGTCAAATCTAAAGCGCATGTCAAGATTAAGGTTGTGGGCGAAGGAGAGGACAGGAAAGACCGTCGAAAGCGACAAGCCTCGGCGGTACGCGATCAAGGTCTGAGAATGATCTTGCGCTTTGTATATATGCGTGTAACATATGTATCGGGACGGGGCAGGAAACTACCAATTGATTGCCACACGTACTGAGAACCTTCATGGATACTGCGAACACTTGGAATGGGCCATCGTCAAAGCAGCCAATCGCGGGGCTCTAAGGTGCAGTCTTATTGTCTTCTGTTCTCGGGTCCACAGAGTGCTTCGTAACCCTTCTTCCGTTCTGGGCTATTCGATTTTACTCGGCTCTAAATTTGACGCTAACGATCGAACAGGTAGTCGAATGGCGAGGCTGGAAGGGGTCGCGGAGCCATTGAGCTGCAGTTGGATGTAAGCTTGCGCCTTCCTTGGCTGCATGTGGACTGCATCAATGACCCTCTCCGCCATTCTCATTCGACCACCCTAAAAGGAGCGTGATGCGTATATGGCGAAATATACAACTCCAGTATCTTTGGCACTCGCGCTTATCATGTCGCAGTTACCACCATTTTCAATCCACCGTCCCTGAGTATTCCGATGCTCTACTCACTGTTTTTCCCACCTCACCCAACCCGAATTGCGCAGCTTAACGAAATCACCGGAATGTAGTTGCGCTGGATAATTACGCAGCGGCATGTATCATTACAACCCGAGATGAGCAGACTTCGCCTCCGTTACCAAACATCAACATGTCTTTCGGATTTGCTGTTGGTGATTTCATCACTGTTGCAAAACTGATAAAAGAAACTATCAGCTGCCTGCGGTCTGTAGGCGGGGCTGAATCGGAGTACCAGGAGCTGGTCAGAGATCTTAAAGCACTCGATATCTCATTACACCACCTCGATAACATCGACGACGACATGAATGCATCCGCTCATGTTAGCCCGATCAATATTGCGACCACGAACTGCAGGCTACGACTTGAAGGATTCTTGTCAAGAGTCAAGAAGTATGAAAGATCTTTGGCCTCCTCTAGCCATCCATCGATATTGAGGGCTACATCAGACAAGCTTGGTTGGCATTTTGGTCGGAAAGATCAGGTCGAACAACTCCGACGAGACATTCATATCTGCCACAGTATTATCAGCCTGCATCTAGCCCAACACAGTCTTGAGCGCCTGGAGACCTTGCGTGCAACAACCGAGATCGATTTTTCGCATATATCTGAACAGCTATACCATACCCGGACCGTTCTCGAGAACATCAATAAAGAGAACATGAATCAAGCGGTCGTCTTGAGCGATGTCCAAACGTTGCTCCAAGACATACATCAATTCGTCTTTGGTGACATCAAACTGTATTTGATTCGTCTCCTCCAGCTCATCAGCAGTACCTTGTACGTACCACAAATATAGCATAGTTTGAACCTGAGCTGACTTTTCTGTTCAGTACTTCCACGCAGCAGATTTACGAGATCTTGCTTGATATCCGGAACGTCATATCGGTAGACACACGCTGGACCTTCTTCCAGGCTCCTTTGGAAGTGGAAGATGCTTTCGGAGTCAAATTTCCCATTCCTACAGAGTACGATTACGACCTGATTGATACCGTCATTCGCCACCGGTTCAAAATTGGCGGGTGTTCCATGGAGGTGAAGATGGGAAATTTCGAACTGTGTAGGAAACAGAACCGTCTTGACGTCATTACCGAGTCCTCACGTCTCCAGCCTGGAACTGCCATAACGATGTTCATAATCGTGAGCACCGGGATCATTAAGGAGGCAGCACGGCCCATACCTCGTTGCAAATCGGCAGAGATCGTTCCGTGCCCCGGAGGGGGGTTTGGATGGTAAGTCCATTCTCAGTCCCTTCGTGAAACTTCACTAATGCGGTTCATAAAGCTCGAACCTTGATTTAGAGCTGTATCAGGCTACCGACTTGTTATCAAACATCGAAAACGTCCGCAGCAGTAGCGCAAACTTTTTCCAGCCTCTTACACTACTTCCACTTGCGCACAGCCGACCATCCAATGCAGTCTGTTACAATTTTATGGAGCGAACTCTGCGGAAAAACGTCCGATTCGATCCTTTTAGAGACTCCGCCTCAGTCTACAGCCCTGTTCTAGAAGATATCGCCAAGATAGACGGTGTTATATCCTGCCCTAGTGTCTCTATAGGAGGTATGGTGGACGGCAGATTCTTTGCGACGTTACAACTTGAGCTTGAGCAAAACCTCGAGAAGAAGTCACCAAGTTGTATGGACGTTGGCCGTCAGCTCAGTAAGCGTCTTGATCGTTGCGGAATCCACGCGTCTGGTGTTCATTGTCATGTTGCTGGCAAACATGTCGACGCCTAAGGATGACAGAAGTAGTATCGCATGCGACTCAAGCAGTATGACATATCAACAAGTATACAGTGCCTTTTTTGCAGGCATCAATTTTGAGAGCGGACAACTAGTCGTGACTTCCAGTCTTACCACGTGGCGCACCTGCACTTTTAGCTTTAGCACGTCTGCGCTTTCCTCGTGCCTTTGTTGTTAACGTCGCTAAGTGCACATTTCAGTCGCAAACCAGCCGTCTTCATTGATGCTTCTACATCTCCATTTTCGTGATGTAGGCTGTTGGTGCCCAATGAGTCTGCCTGCAGCAAGGCTAGGAGTGGTGGCGGGATGCTTGACCTGCAGCACAGCCCCCAAGCTGGCGGTTTCGCTCTCCAAGCTTGTTTATGACCGCGCAGCAGTCGCATACCTCGAATCTTTCCTTTCTCCGTTTCGCACTCCGTGACTAGCATCAGGCATGTTGTTCGGCGCTCTACTCATCTACCACCTAGGTATCTGACCCTTCACAGATAGAACTGCGACCACCACTGCACTTATCTACACGACCTACCCGGATAGACACCCTTCGCGCCACTTATATCGCTCGGCCATGCCTCTCAGTATCGGTATCGGAGATGTGATAGCGGTCGGCAAACTCATCAAGGACATCACTGACTGTCTGCGATCTGTTGGTGGAGCAAAATCAGAATACCAGGAACTCACCAAGGAGCTTGAGGCGCTCAAGGCTGCCCTGGATGGTCTGGACCAGCTCGACAGCAGTGCAGCCCCCTCGGCACTTCTTGACACAATCAAGTTCGTCGCGGTGGACTGTCGCCAACGACTTGAAGTGTTCTGGGCGAAGATCGAGAAATACGAGTCGTCCCTAGGCTCCGCAAGCCGATCCAACGCTCTGAGAGGTACCATGGACAAGCTGGGCTGGACGTTTTGTTGTAAAGAAGAGGTTGTGCAACTTCAGAGAAACGTCCAATGCTACAGCAATGCCATCAGCATACTCATGATACGGCATGTCGCAGAACAGGTGCAAGATATGAAGAAGTATACAGATGCATTCCGTACACAGGTTGCTGAGCGAATCCGTGATACACAACATACTCTCACAGACATTGGCGATGATGTATCTAGCCAAGGAGCTGTAGCGAGTAACGTTCAGACACTAGTCACTGGCCTGCATCAGTTCATGTTCGGCGAGGTCAGATCATTCCTGGTCGACTTCGGGCAGTTGGTGAACAAAGTCTTGTATGTCCGTTCCCTTCGTGTACACTAGTGGAGCTGTCAGCTAACCAACCACCACGCAGTGCCTCGACACAGCAAATATACGCCGTTGTTCTCGAAATCCGAGATTCGGGAAGAGCAGTGAATACCGGCTGGACTTATTTCCAAGACCCATTCGTCGTTGAAGATGCCTTTGGTCGCAAGTTCCCAGTCCCATCGGAGTTTGACTACGATATGCTGGATACGATCATTCGGCGGAGATTTCAAACCGGTGTTGGCTCGCAAGATGTTGCTCAGGGTAACTACGAATATTGCAAGGCGAATATGAGGTCAACAGCGATTACATCAACTTCACGGCTTGCACCCGGGATAGCTATCGTGATGGTTGTGCTTGTACATGCGAGAAGCGACAGGCCTTGTCCTATGCCTCTATGCAACTCTGTACGAGCTAACCCTTGCCCCAGCGGAGGATCTATGTGGTAAGCTGCAGGATCAACAAATATGGCAATTGGTGATGATAACGAGTCTGCAGTTCTGTTTGCGATGTGCGGTTTGATCAAACTACAAAGGCATTCAAGGATCGCCGTCAAGAGTGCACCGAGTCCGGCATGTCTTTGAAGACTTATCTCGAGGAGAATAAGACGAAGAAAATAACGCTCGAGGACTTGAGACAACGGTTTGCCAGATCACGCAGTATAGAAGAGCAGAATTCACTGAGAAACGTGAAGGTCACATCGAAGCGCAAATTTCTGATGTCTAATATACCGGATGATCCTGTAAGCTTCACGATTATCAGAGCTTTGTAGTATACCGTAGAGAGTTACAGACGACCTTATAATTGTCTATAATACTCGCTTTACTCGCTATAACAAAAGCTGGAGGTGAAGGCGGCTGCCCACCACATGGCACACTTGCGCCTTCCGCTTCAGCACACTGACGCTTTCCTGGCGCCTACGTACCACCACCTCCCTCACCTTTAATCCCCACGTCTTTCATCCCACATCAGCAACAAATCGTACTCATGGCCAACCACAGGGCGATGCAAGAGATGAGCCGTCTCGAGGACCTGCAACTGCAGCGCGAGCTCAAGCAGAGCGTCCTTGGTATGTCACTTCCCACTTTTCCGCTGCCGGAAGGCGCTGTAGCAGACTGTGCAATACTGACTGCGCAACAGAATACATCATCGACCTGTACCAACCAGCCTACCCCAACAACCATGGCTTCTCCATCCTCATCTGCCGCCACGTATTTGACCGCTCCTCTTCCATCCCCGCTGCTGCCGCCTTAGGCCGCCGCAACGATAGAGCAGACGAGTTCATCATGATCCGCGCGGTTACACTCAGCGAGCCCGGAACGAAGAAGTGGACGCTCGTGGCTGAGAGCAGCAGGGCGTGCTTCGGTATCGTACCTGCGTTGCAAGAGTTCTCAAAAGACTTGGAGCGCCAGATGGGCAACATGACGGCTTTGATGACGGTGGACAAGAAGAGACAGCGGAATGAGAGGGATGAGGGCTCAATTGATCAGGGTGAGTACATGTCAGGACGTTCGCGCAAAAGGCAGAGGGAGGGATAAGGACATGGGCTGGCGGCGGCGAGCAGCTTAGACTAGTGACGTGACTCGGATATGATGACAGGTCTGATGGCAGAATGCGAGATATTTACAGTTCACTATACGTTAAACGATAATGCAGAGATGGTCGTTTCGGATATCGAGAAGAGGATTGAAAAGTTGTCGCACTTGTGTGAAACAATGCAGCTACTACGATGTCAAGAAACTCGCCTCACCTAGGCAGATCGTAGCGACTAAAAATGGCACATCATGAAGATATATCGTCATTTACGTGATAAAATTCAAGGAAGAAAAGTATGTAGTTGGGCATCTTTTGACAACTGACAGGTAGTACCCGGTTTTTCCGTAGTTCGGGCCAATGTTTAGGTGTCAGCCCATGGATTGACAGGTGTATCCTCGCATGTTCGCTGGAGTTCCATGTGCCTGCCACGGGTGCCGGCCAATGACAGCCGACTCACGTGGCGTTCTGTACATAGCACCCCTACACACAATGGCACCGGGCTTCGTCATCGAGCCTGAGTGCTGCCGAGCTGGCCAGGTGCAGCACCGAAACTTGGAAGAACGACTGAGACGCTGCGAGACATGTGGAGTTGAGAGACGCCGCCATGCAGATGGGCAGAATAAGCATTACCTCACGGCAGCTGTCGTTGGGGGCGTCGCAACGTAAGATGGACAGAAGTGAGGCACCGGTCAGGTTCCGGAGGCGGCCGGAGAGGGGCTATGTCGAGCAGCACGTTGAACATGTTCGCAGCGAAAAGACTCCCAAAGGGTGCGTCGGTGAGGGATGCCGGTCAGAAAAGCTGCGCAAATCATGAGACCTAGCCGGGTTGGACAGGCGCTTCTCGTTGGGCGCAGCAGGTGGTGGCAGAAGAACTGGGCTTGGCTGCCCGGCAGGCGGCAATGACATCACTCGCACGCTCTGTGCCCTCAAGACGGCTGCCCACCCCAGCCTCAAGCAAACGGTAATATCTACGCCACCCCACCTGCACCGAGATAGATCCTTGGGACCCAAGCCAAACGGACAGTCATCAGCCCTGGCCCTCCCGAGTCGACAACCTGTTAAATACCACTGCCTGCCTGTGCCCTGCGCCGCTCGACACCCCATTCCCCTACCCACTTTGTCCCGTCACTTCGCAGGCACCTTATTCTTCGTTGCGACAGCCCACCAGCCTCTCACTTGCGCTAGTAGCCAAGTAAACTCTATCTGAACAAAGCGACTACTCGGTATGCTTGCCCGCCGCCGCTCTCTTTTTCCCCTCGCGCGCCCACTAACCCAGCCTTGCGCAGAATACCGGACTGGATACGACCCTTCCTGCTGCCGGACCCCTAGAGCCACAATCGCCCACGGCGGTATAGAGCACCACCACCATCACTATGTCTGAGTACAGCTACGCACCGCGGCACCGTACGCGGGAGCCCGAGTACGTCACCGAGACCACGTACATTGAGCGCGGCGGTCGCGGAGGCGGGGCACGAGATCTCGTCTACCGCCCCGCAGCGCGCGAGGACAGCATCGAAGAAATTCCCCGCGACTTCCCTCCCGGTGCCGAGTATAGGCAGACCAAGTACCGCGAGGAGTATGCGCCGCCCCGCCGCACCCGCTCAGTGAACCGTGGCTACGACGACGACTACTATGACCGTCCCCGCCGACGTGACCGCGACTACGATGACCGTTCCGAGTACTCCGAGCGCCCCAACATGCAGCGCCGCAAGTCCATCGTCGACAAAGTCAAGGACTTCGGCGAGTCAGCAGGCCTAGGCGGCATCATCGGTGCCGTCACTGGCGGCGGGCGTGACCGATCGCGCTCCCGCCCTCGTCGAGACGACCGTGGCTACGATAGCGACAGATACGGATACTACGACGAGCGCGACCGCCGAAGCAGCCGTTACGGATCACGTTCGCGCAGCCGCAGCCGAGGAGGACACAAGTCTGAGAAGTGGGAGCAAGCCGCCAAAGCCGCTATCGTCGCCGGTGCCGTCGAAGCCTTCCGCAGCCGCAAGGAAGCCGGTCCATGGACCGGTGCCAAGGGCCAACGTGTTGCAACTGCCGCTCTTGGTGCTGCTGGTATCGACGGTCTCATCGACAGAGACCCCGGCAAGCACGAGAAGAGGCACGTCGCCGAGTCTGCACTCGGTGGTCTTGTCGCTTCTCGCCTAGCCAACGGCTCTCGCTCGCGCTCCCGTGCTCCTCGTGGCCGTGACGACTCCAGGTCTCGCTCCCGTTCTCGTGCCAGGTCCAGGTCCAGGTCCATCTTCGGACGCTCCCGCTCTCGTGGCCGCTCCCGCTCCAACTCCAGCGACAGAGGAGGAAACAACGGTATCGCCAAGGTAGCTGGTACCGGTGCTGTGCTCGCAGCAGGCAAAGCTCTATACGACCGTGTGCGCTCCAAGTCTCGTGCTCGAAAGGACCGATCCCGCTCTTCCAGCTCGGACAGCTACGTGCCATCACGTAGGGGCAACCGCCGCTCGTACAGCCGAGGCCGCGGTATGGACGACCAGTATTCCGAAGCCCCTTCCAGGACTAACCCAGATCGCAGACTAGCCGCCGCCGGTGGGGCAGGAGCGGGTGCTTTAACAGCACAGAATGGAGGAATGGATCGGGGTCGACGGGATTCTAGCGCGGATTCCGAGTCGTCCACCGATATGGAGGAGAAGCGCAAGAAGCTACGAGGTAAGGAACTCCTCACTGCGGGTCTAGCCACTGTGGCCACCATCCACGCCGCCCACGGAGTCTACTCTTCCATGGTTGCCTCAGAAAACCGCCGCAAGCTCGTTGGCGAGGGCGAGATGACGGCCGAAGAAGCGCGCAAACGCAAGTCCAAGAACATGCTCCAGGACGCCGCCGCCGTGGGCATCGCCGCCCTCGGTATCAAATCCGCCTACTCGGAATGGAAAGAGATGAACGAGCAACGCCACAGCGTCAAGGAACTCGAGACGCGCCGCCGCAAGAGGAGAAAGCTCCGTGAACGCCGCGAAAAGGAAGCCCGGATGAACGCCCTCGGTGGCAACATGAATGGTGCAGCCGCTAATCCGTACGCATATCCTGTAGCTGCCAACCAATCCTACCCTACGTCCTATGCCGATGCGAATCCCTACGGTAGCTCGGTCCCGCCCCCACCCATGGGTGCGAGGTACTAGAGCTTCTTTTCTTTGGTTTACTCACGATGGTTATTCACGACACGGCCGACTTGGTTACTTGTACTGCGGTGGATGATAGAAGTATTGTTACATACCTTTTTTTTATTCTGTCTTTCAGAAAGCTTGGTTAAGCGAGGAGGTGAATGTTATTGTTCTTCTTTTTGAGCAGCTCCATTCTTTTGTTTTCGCGACTCTGATGATTGACGATGGATGGATGATGGATGGAGGCAGCTTCTTGGGTTCGAAAGGAAAGAGAAGAAGTGTTTTTGGCTGATGCGACAATCGAGTCTTCTGGCTCACACATGAATGATTCACGACATGACTTTACGAAATGAAGATAGATAT